CCGGTTCCGGATAAGTGGAGGAAAATGGATGAATGGATGGATGGTTGCAATCAGAAATATTCAACCCCCAAAGATTTTTTAGGATTTATGAATAAAAATCTTTTCAAAGTGCAGGATTCTGCTTTGGATGATGTCTTTATGAGTTGAGTGATACATAAAATCAACACAGATAATGTATGATATAGTATTTGTGTATAACAGTATATTTTGTTAAGATACAATTACAATTTTCATTTGAACTTCAAAGTTATGTCAACTTCTGTTTTCAAAATACCTCATATGTATCAATAAATATTTTTTTTATTTCAAAGGTGTTTTTTTGCATTTATTTTCATTATCTTTCATCAACATCACTATAATGTCTTTTGAGGTGAGGGGGTTGAATATTTTTGATTGCAACTGTATATGTATATACAGTGGTGTGAAAAAGTATTTGCCCCCTTACTGATTTCTTATCTTTTTGCATGTTTGTCACACTGTAATGTTTCAGATCATCAAACAAATTTAAATATTAGTCAACGATAACACAAGTAAACACATCATGCAGTTTTTAAATGAAGGTTTTTATTATTAAGGGAAAACAAAATCCAAAACTACAAAGCCCTGTGTGAATAAGTGTTTGCCCCCTAAACCGAATAACTGGTTGGGCCACCCTTAGCAGCAACAACTGCAATCAAGCGTTTTCGATAACTTGCCATGAGTCTGCCACAGCGCTGTGGAGGAATTTTGGCCCACTCATCTTTGAAAAATTGTTGTAAGTCAGCCACATTGGAAGGTTTTCGGGCATGAACTGCCTTTTTAAGGTCATGCCACACCATCTCAATTGGATTCAGGTCAGGACTTTGACTAGGCCACTCCAAAGTCTTCATTTTGTTTTTCCTTCAGCCATTCAGAAGTGGACTTAAAAAACAATACATATAAAGATGGCAACTTAGACTCTGGAGACATACAATGGAGATTTTTCATTATTTCCCTGACATTCTACTGAATAAACCATGAATTGTTTAATAAGAAAAATAATTCACTGACTAATCAAGAATGAAAATAATGGTTGAATGCTTTTCTAAATTAATAATTCAGGTATCTGAAACTGAAGCAAATGTTGCTAAATGATTGTTTGTCATGGAAACCAGTTAATAGCAGTGGGGATAACTACAATTATTATTATTATACAGATGGAAACCAATTAATAAACAATAACCACTGAGTCCTGAACTTTACTCACTGTAGGTGAAATAAATCAACATAATGCTTTTCTCCTTGCTATAACAAGTCTTTTCCCTTCAGTTTCAGCTTGTGACAGCCTTTTACTGTGGCACATTTACATATTTGTAGAGGTTTGTGGTAGTAACAGAGGTTTTAAATTAGTAAAAGAAAAAGAGGCAGCACAAGTCCAACTCTCCATGAAAGTAGACTGAACACAGCTCGTCTCCCCTGCCGTTGCCTCTCAACCTCCCTCTCTCTTTGTCTCGCTCCCTCTCTCTGTGACAGCAGTATGGAAACAATAAATATGCAAATGCAGTGAAATATTCCCAAAACGCGATAAGGAAGCAATGAACTTGCTGGGGAGATAGGGTGCCTCCATTCAGCGACTGTGTTTGACAAATTGTGTGAATGCAGAATGTAATAATTTTCAGCAAATGATGCACTCAAGAATTGGCAGATGAAATGATAGAGCTCTCATGTACTTTATTTAGTCACTCTGTATTAGAGAACAGGAATTATTGCTATAGACAGTGCATTGTGTGCAATGACCCAGCTATTGTCTGCCTGTCTTTGTTTTACAATATTAAGCTGCATGTGTATTTAGTTGGCAAAGTGAGTTCAGACAAAACTAAAATGAGGGGTAAAAATACAGCAAGACTGTTTCATTCTTGCTCAAGAGTCATTGAAGCATCAAAATAATTCACAGCTTGGAGCAAACACTGTGCTGTCTTTATCAAAATATCTGTATGCAGTGTCTCAGCTGATCATGGTTTATGTGATTAAATAAGTGTTGCAAGGTACTGACACTGAAGGGAATCGATAATAAAAGAACCACCACACAGGAAGTAACATGCTGTCTTCTCTACACCTTAGTTCGCAGGCTACAGTCCAAAGGCATCCTGATCCAAATGTTCCCACTCCATGAAAAGGAGGAACTTAAGAGACTGTCTTTTTCTTGGTACAAAAAGGTGCGGTTGTCCCTGCAGCCTCTTGGTAAGATGCCCATAGGAAATGGGTTCAAAGATTTCTGTCACACCTCACATGGTTACTCCATCTGTTTTTTAAAAAGCCTTATATGATTCTTATGATGTCCAGTCACATTCTAGTTTGGGGTGGCTGGATGTTTTTAGTCCTCTTTTTTTATTACTGTTTAATTTAGAGTAATTTTCCTCTTTGTCATGTTTTTGATTGAAATGCTCTCAGTGCTACTGTTAGTGCTCCTACACACTTTGTTCTTCTTTGTCCCCAGATGACATCAGACACTACTATGGTGAGGGCCAGGCCCTGTACTTTGGCTTCCTTGAGTACTTTACCTTTGCCCTGGTGCCTGTGGCCGTCATTGGGGCTCCATACTATCTGTTTGATTGGGAGGACTACGACAAATATGTGGTCTTTGCCGTGTTTAACTTGATCTGGTGTACTGTTATACTGGAGGTACGGAGAGAGTCACAGTTACTGTAGGTGAAAACATAACCTGAAGGGCTAAAGAGGAATGTGATGATGCAGACAGATGAATGACATGTAGCTTTAATGAATAACAACTTGGTGAAAGCTAAATAATTAGCGCGGCCTTCCCTCCACTAGCTATGGAAGCGGTGCAGCGCCACACTAGCCTACCGCTGGGGCACGCTGAGCAGGAAGAAGGCCTTTGAAGAGCCTCGGCCTGGTTTCCACGGTGTCCTCGGGTTAAACCCTGTGACGGGCCGCAAGGAGCCTCTCTACCCCAGCATCAAGAGGCAGCTGCGTATTTACCTTGTGTCCCTGCCCTTTGTCTTGCTGTGCCTCTACCTGTCCCTCTGTGTCATGATGGTCTACTTTCAGTTGGAGGGCTGGGCACTGTCAGTCCATGATGAGGAGCCCACTTTCTGGACAGGAATACTGTTGTACATTCCCAGTATTATCTATGCTGTGGTCATAGAGATTATGAACCTCATCTACAGATATGCCGCTGACTTCATAACAGAGTGGGGTGAGTGGTCACATCTGTATCCTTTATTTTGGCCATCAAGCAAACATGCATCCATTCAGACACTGACAGTAGTTAATGTAAGGCATTTATCAAGCAGAAGTGCACGATATGATCTTTTTTCTGCTTCTCAAACATGATGATTAGCTGCTTTTATTTTCACAGTATTGTAAATCTTAAGGTTTGGGAGTATTTGTTGGCTAAAATGAGCTATTTGAAGATGTCGCCTTCTGTCCCTCAAACTTAAAATTGGCCTTCTGCACATTTGTCTTACAACTTATAGACTAAATGATTTTGAAAAAAATAAGTGATTAATTGATGGTGAAAATAAGATTTAGTTGCAGTGGTTAAATGGTAAATACACTGCATTTCCAGCAGGTAGTGCCTTTCCATCTTAACAGATTAAGTGCTTTACAACTTGCCTCTCCTTCACCTACTCCAGACGCACTCGCACACAGATGAAAACTGATACAACCCTAAATCAAATCAGTAATTCAGCTATATTGCATCACATTTATTTAACATCTACTTTTGTCCAAAGTGACATGCAGGTGCTGCTAAGACCAGTATCATGACAGTTTGACAGTTGCAAAAGATTTGTGTCTTTAAGGGGCTCTGTCTGGGCTGAAATAACATAAAGATTAATGTTATTTCAGAGTTTGACCTATCAGGTTACTTTGTTTAGAAAGAGAGCTGCTCTGGGTTATGCATGTGTGAGGCTAAGGGACTGTTAATTTTAGAAAGTCTACAGTGTGGTGAAACTTAAACAGAGTTCAGAGTGTTTTTTGGCTGAGTAGACTTCTCAGATCCACGGGGGATGTACAAACAGTGCAGACTGACATTTATACAGCACATTTCATACACAGATGCAATTCAGAGTGCTTCACATAGGCCAAAACACTGAAAAGAATAAGCAGTAAAACCTGCATAAAATGTATTAAGACAAAATAAAGATGAAACATTGACAACATTATGAAATATAATGAAAGTAAAAACAAACAGGCCAAATGAACAGTCAAATGCAAATAAAGAACAATTACAGTGCAGCAACAAGTTGTAGGTCACCTCGAATGCAACACAGGAAACAAGTGGAGCAGAGAAAAAAACCAGTCAGTCACTGATTTTTCACACAAAAGTTGATCTGCTTGTTACATAGAGCACTGCTCGTTCTGTAATAACAGTTGTGTAATGTTCTCTCTGGCATTATGAAAGGTTTGATCTGTCTTATGAACTACTAGTCTACAGTGTAGATTTGTTTTCCATCCTTCTTTCATTTGCAAGTCCCCCAATTGTGTGTACAAAGCTAAATCACTGCTCTGAAACATGCAGGAACATGTTTTACCATCAAACAAGTCTGTTATTTGGTTTGGATTTGTACCCTTAGATTATTGTAACGTGAAACTTTGCATTATGAAACATTTAGGTGTTTTCCTGCTTCCTTTGACAGCCTAAATGAATTGGGGAAACTGCAGATGTGAAGATCTCTTGTGACAGACTGAAGGCTTCAGTGTGTTCTGTAGGATGATGGGGGAAACATGATGTGTCTGGAAAAAGACACATCTGCTGCACTGCTGTTACTGACATGCTCCAATTTCCTCTTTCTGTGTTTAGAAAACCACAGGCTAGAGTCTTCATTCCAGATTCATTTGGTTCTCAAAGTATTAGTAGTGAGTATAAATGAATTTATATTTTCCAGAATATTACCAAGTTCATCCTTAAGTGGTCAGAGTGCAGCTTGTCTTGTCAACAATCCATTTTTCACTTGTTTGACTCTTTTCTCTTTAGTTCAACTTCTTCAACTGCTTTGCCTCGTTGTTCTACATCGCCTTTGTCATGCAGGACATGGCGCTGCTCAGACAGGTAGGTCTGCCTTCCTCCCATCCTCTGAGTCTTTTCAGGTTTCTTCTCTTTCTTACACAGATTTTAGTATTTCTTATTTAATTTACTTCAATGTTTGTTTTCTCCTATTATTTCTTGTTATTTGTTTTTTGTATCCTGATTCTTTTGTCATTGATTGCTTTATTACTTTCCTCTTTATACCTTTACCACCTTTTCTCACTGGGTTTAGTCTTCTCTCCTTCTCTTCTCTTTCCTTTTCTTTGTTTTGCTCCATTTCTCTCTTTTCTTTACTATTTTGCCCTCTCACCCTTCATTTATTCTTCCTTCCTTCACTTTTTCCTGCTTTCACCCTATATGTTCTTTCACTTTGTCCTTGTTGGTGCCCAGAGTCTGGCCACACTGTTGATCACCAGTCAGATCTTGAACCAGTTCATGGAAGCCTTCTTGCCCTACTGGCTCCGGAGGAGACGCAACAAGAAGATGATCCGCAAAGTCCAGAAAAGAAGAACTATGGAGGACGTAGAGCTTCCTCTGGTCGAACAGGTCCGGCTGGAGGCCGACATGAGCACGTACTTGGTAGGTGCACATGGTCTTTTCGCTCAAATTTAATTTAATGATTTTGCTGTCCAAAAATTAATTTGATATATGAGACAAATGAGCATCAGGTCTCCATTTGTGGGTGTATGCAGACCCATAAGTCTGTCTGGTCTTCTGTCCCTCACCCAGGGTACATTTGATGACTACCTGGAGCTGTTCCTGCTGTTCGGTTACGTCAGTCTCTTCTCATGTGTCTACCCTCTGGCTGCTGTCCTGGTAGTGTTGAACAACATCACTGAGGTTTACTCTGATGCCTTCAAGATGTGTCATGTGTTCAAACGACCCTTTTCCGAACCAGCAGCGAACATAGGAGTCTGGCAGGTGAGACACATAGAGACAGCTAACCTGTGTGTAACACCTACAGTATGTCAGATTGCCTCAGCAACTTTGATGGTTTTATCAGAGTTTTCTTCACACAAAAGTGGGAGGCAGGTGGTGTTACTTTAAGAAAATAAAAAGCTAAACACATGACCTGATGTTCTTTATTTTTAAAGTGCAAGCCAAAGCAAAGGTTCAGGTATTATTTAAAGACTTTGAGGCCACTAAATGACACATGTATCCATCCTCTCTAGTTACCATTGTTTAATTCTGTCCGAAATGTTACCTGAGAACGCCGTCACTGAGAATAATATGCCTTCCCAGTGTCTTATTTTTAACAGGCTTTCCTAATTATCTTATCAGTCATTATAATCAGTCATTGATTAAGAATGAGGTATCACTTCCTCTACACTGTGCCCAGCTGGCAAAATGGTTTTCATTTTGGGAAACAAATCATTGACTGTTCCTGTCTCTGTCTGTGTGTCCAGCTTGCCTTTGAAGCCATGAGTGTGATAGCTGTTGTGACCAACTTTGCACTGATTGGTATGTCTCCACAAGTCAAGGCTTACTTCCCCGATTCAGACACGCAGCTCATACTGTGGATTGTGGCTACTGAGGTAATTAATGTACACGTGCATACATACCATATTGAGCCACATACAACAATAAGCCTTTGTTTTGTAGTCACACTACATTTGCTTATAAATGTCAGAAAGTCTTAGCTGTTCCTGCTTTAACAGATGCAACATGAGCGTGAAGCAATGTCAATCAGGCATGGTCTGAGCACCCATGCAGAGTCGAATATATCACTGGGAAAAATAAATGAAAGCACCTATGTGGACCTGTAATTAAACACGGAGAACCAGCCCTGCTTGGTATCTGTGTATATCCTCCAGCACACAACTGTAGTGAAGGAACTGTTGAAATGTTTTGCTCACTAGATGGAGCCAGAGGCCAAATGAGGCCCAGAGAGATCTGTCAGTGATGAAGGGTGACAGAAGGAGTGGAGAGAGTGAGAGAGCAAGATTTTCTCTGCATGATTGTAGCTGCATAAATGTTTTTTGCACTGTGTGCTCCTGTCAGCCTATCATTGTTCGAGCTTCTGTGTATGTGTTAAATACAGTATTCTCACCCAGGATTTTTCCTCTCCTGAGTCCACATCTATTAACGTTTGCATCAGCCTCTTCCCCTTTCAGACAGCCCAAACTGTCTGCCTAGCACACTCACACACATACACCCTGTGCCTCCAGAGAAAAAGCTCTAAATAACAGCACAAACAGAGAAATAGTGATGCTGTAGTGAATAGGTTGGAGAGATTTCTCTAAAACATTCATATGTTTGTCTTTAACAAGCTCCTGAGGGGTGATACAGTAATAACTGTTGCCTCAGACTGTAAAACCCTCTGTAAAGTTTACTGTACCTCAATGGGTACAGTGGGTCTCTACTGATGCTGAGGCAGAAACTGGGTCATATTGATCATCTGCATGTTTTATTGAATGTGTTGTCTGCATGCACAAATGAATAATGAACTGCTCTGTTCATGGAGACGTTATTCACTGTTTGTCTGTCAGAATGACCTTGTGTTTAACTGAACATGCTTTTGATGCAAGGTCTCTTTGGGTGAGAGATGGACTGAGCCGATTTAGAACACTGACTCCTAGATGTGTGTTTTGTCCCAAGAAACAATATCTGGAGAGACTTATTTTTTTCATTATTTTCATAATCTTATTCTCTGTTTGTGGTACGTCTACAAAAGAAAAGACTATAGTGTAGTTTCATATTAAACTCAAGTATTCAATATATAACTGGCATTTAGACATCTACACCTGGTACATTCATTAACAGAGTTGTTCAGTTAATACAGCAATGATATTGAACTTCCACTGCTACCAAGTTTGGTGACTGTACTGGGTTACTAGTGGTAATAGCTAGTTCAAGAGAAGGTTTTTCTCTAACATGATAAGAAAACGTATTTGTCAGCAAACTGCACACAGAATTAAAAAACAATGGAGAAGTCACATTTAATAAAATAGCAATTAAATAATAATATCTCATGTTCAGGCGTTAGATTTGATAAGCTACCCTCTTACATTCAGTAACGTTCTGTCTCTGGCATTAGCGCTTCCTGGAAGAAAGGGGTTTACGAATCATATTCATCTACAATCCAGAGAATTACACACAGAAACCACCACACTTATGAAACTGCAGCAGCACGCCATATGAAACAGTAGGATATTTAACATGAAATGATGTGGATGTAGATGTAGCATTAATGTTCCTTTCAGTCGGGTAACTTTTGTGTTGCTCTGAGTCAGTTACAAGAATAATATGGGCAGTCAACCATAAATCATCTCTACATGTTCACTGAGGAGAACCCACTGTTATAATGTTATCTGAGGATTTAAGCTGAACCCACTGAAGAGGATTTTAGTACAAATGTGAGCCTAGCTTCTGCAGAGCACAGGGACACTGTGAATAAAACACCATTTTCCACAAACCTCACGATAGATGGGAACAACACATGTAACCATGGTAACTGTACACAGGATGAAGCAGATATAACCTACAGTAAATATTAAAAATGCACTTTAAAAGTGATGAAAACTAGACTAAGATGTATTTATTGACTAAAACTAACAAAAATCAAAACACAAAAATTTGACTAAAACTAATTTCAAAAGCCAAAGACTAAAACAACATCAAATTCAGGTGTCACAGTTAACACCGATCCCTGCCTCCTTCACACTGTCTGCAGGCCTGAATAGAAGTGAGCATGAATTTTTATAGCAATAGCCCACATGCTGATGTTCTCCTTTTGACTTCGCACCCTCAACTGAATAAGGAGAGAAGGCGAGGTACTGCTCTAGTGAACACAGGAAAAAACAGGCCAGCTTACAGCTGGTGTTGGGCTATTACTCTCTCTCACTATGTAGTATTGTGTGTCAGTGATCCGTCCTGACACATAGATCAGGTGAACATGTCTGTGCATGTGTGTGTGCTCTTGTCTGTGGTGTATAGCATAGTAGCACAGATAAAAGGCTCAGATGAAAGTAGCCATAGAAGAAGTGAAAAAGAGTTGGCAAATGCAGTGAAGGCAGAAACAGCCAGAAGGGAGGAGATGGACAAATGATCAGGGAGGAAAGTCTTGGGAGAAGAATTGATAGGTCTGAGGAGAGAGGGCAGAGGAAAATGTGCTGAGAGAGAGGAAAGCAGTGTATGTGTTCTTCCCTGTTGACAACCAGCACACTTCCTAGAAAAGAGCAGGCAGGCTATTAGGGAAATGGAACAACAAGAATAATGAGAGCCTGGTGCTGTAATGTTAAGTATACTAAGGGGGAACTGCACACAGATACACACAGATGTTGATTATTGACACAACATCCAGTAGGTTGCCACTGGAGAGGCACTTACTGTCTAAAGCTGTTAACAGGCCTGTGAGTACGTGCATTTTTTAGTATGACCACCTCTAGCGGGAATAGAACCTGTGGTATTGTCTCTGTTGGTGCTGGGCTTCAAGCATAGGTGCATTTTTCATCTAACAGCTTCAGATTTCTTTTAGTTTTAATATTCATTCTTTAAAGGGAGAAAGGAGATACAAACAGCTAAGTGTAAAAACCAAATCATTCAGCACTACTTATCTTGGTTATGGGGTTGGGGTGGGGGCAGGTGGGAGGGCAGCACCTAGTCGCTTTCCAGGAGCACTGCTATGATACCTGGGTAATTACTGTATAGGGCTTACACACATCAGTGAGCAGTAACCAGGCAACTGGGCAGCCTGCTACAGAAAGAGCCAGAGACACGGGTCTGTCTGTTATAATCTACTCATTTCAGTGCAGCCGAGGTGTATCGGAGCAGAGCCTCTGAACTGTGTCTCCTCACAAAGCTCCAGAAATGAAGGGAGGCATGCTCATGAGCTAATGGCAGTAGGGTGACATAGCCATTTTATGTCTGATTAAAATGGAAATGTACAACAAGCAGGTGATTTTACTTGACGAAAAATTAATTACGTACAGTATGTCTGTGTTGTGTATTTGTATGTTGCAGAGACTATATGATTTCCTGGACTGTCCTTAACCAGTAGCATGTTTTCCCATTAGTGCCAGAGAAACTGGATCATCTGTGGATCCTTATTTACTGTGACTAAACTGCTCTGCACGTAAGACAATTCCAGTCATGCATGTCAGTGATGCATTTTAAGACCTCCCCCAAAACTGACCCGTTATCACTTGCCAAAGTTGTTTTGACTAACACTTTATCAAGCTGCACTTGCCTGTTTATACACTGAGCAGACAAGGAGCATAATTTGCTCTCTGGTAACCTGATGAACTTCCATCCATCCAGCATCTATACCTCTCAGGCAAGCTCTGCACAGTCGGACATGAGGTTTGAACCCACAGTGTTCTTGCTGTGAGGCGACAGTGCTAACCACTGAATGAGTTTAAAGTCCAGTATTCACCATTTTTAGCTCTTTAACCGTTATTAATCTCCACTCTGTCCTGAGAGAAATATCGGGCTCTTTACTTGGTAACTGCTTCACTGTGTTCACCAGCTAGTATTGTGCGTCGTCTGTTGGCTGTGTGGGGCAGGACAGGTGGTGTGCAGTAGGTTAAATAGGCTGAAAACAGCTGCCTGCCTCTGCCATAAAAGTGGTTGATTGGAGTGATGAACCAGAATCAAACAGTAAAAACAAACTGTGAACTGAAAGACACTGTGGATCTGAGCAGGTGATAACAGCAAGCAAGAGATGGGTGTTCACGACAAGAGACACCTATTCCATTACACTCCAGTGTTAATATGAAGATGCTGATTAGTGCAGCTTGAACACCATTTATTGTAATAAACAATCTATCTTAATTTGATCAGCAGGCTAATTTTAATGACAGTTTTATGCCTTTAATTAGCTTCAGTTACATCATGATTCTGCTTAAATTAAATTTACTGTGATGTCCTACAATATCACTTCAAGAGATTGTCATTATTGTGGCACAGTGATAAAGGTGCATAGTTACACAGGTTTTTAGATAATCAGATTAATCTTCACCCATTGGCAAAATCAAGAGCATCTGACTCACCAATAAACCAGCCTATCATCTAACTGTGTGCACATGCTTTGCATGTACTGTCACATGATATTTGATCCATCATCATTAATGTGCTAAACCCAGTTCCACTGCTCTTAGTTGCATTTTGCTTTTATCAGGTCACCAACTTTTACACCTCAGGCAAGGATAAAAATATTTTTGCGGTATTTCAAGATTTGATCGGATGTTTGGCATTCCCACTCCAGTTATTATTTATGCAGGTTGTTCTTGGACAGATTGAGGTCAGGTGATTTGCTCCACTGCCACTAACTTGGATCCAAAAGCAAACTTTTATGACTCGTAATTCAGTCACATAGAAATTCTTACTTTGAGATTCACATAGTGGTCCTAGTTAAAGCAAAAACAGTGTCACGATTCTGAATGGAAATCAAAAACCACAATACAAAACTTAAAAAAAAACGGTGAAACCAGAAGGTGGAACCGCAGATGGAATCACATGTTCACTACTTTAGTGTAGTATTCATTATTTTATTTCAAACTGAATGTAGTAATGAATGAAGCAAAAATGTCCAGTGGAATGTGAGTATACGAAATGAATTTGAAAATGACCAATGTACTTCATATAACACGTGCAGTTCAATACATTGTTTGTTTTCAGTTTTGGTCTTTGAGGATTGAGAAGACTCTTCTTAAAGAAATGCACTGCAGACAGCAGTGATGGCTCCACAGCCTAACTCAGGAGTTAACATGACATATTCAGCTTATGTCAGATCACACATGAAATGGCTGAATTAATAGTTCCTCATCATTTAGGATTGATGACGGCTTGAAATGCTAATTATCCAATCGATAACAATGAAGGGGTGCCATGGTAACAGCATTAAGAGCTGAATACTGAGTAGTGATAATAGATTCTTCAAGTTAGGACACCATGTGGGTCTGTAGGTTGTTGTCGTCATTAAAATGACTTGGATAAGATTTAGGATGGGAGTAGGGACTCTTTGCCCCACTAGGAACTTTGTGTTTGACCTAGAGAAGGTCTCAGTGTAGCAATGACAATGAAAACACTGAGCATTTGGGAAGTTTAATCAAATCCATTATGGCTCAGAAAACAGAATTTATTGCCAGACATTGAAAGGAAAGATGGCATTTCACGAGCCATAGTCTCCTTCCACTGTTCACCGGGCGTCCTCTCACTCAGTCTAACCTTGTGCGGCTCAACAGTCATAAATTAGACTTGAATAGCATTAGCAATCAACTAAGAGCTGGAGTGTTTATTGTGCACTCTCAATCAGTATGACAAGTCACTAAGGTCAGGGATTTCTTGGTTTGTTCCGCTTTAATTAGTATGAGCTGCTGTGCTGACTGGAATGACAAAACATCTTAGTCTGGGTTTCTTTAAGAGAGAAATGTTGCTCCTGTGCTAATAGAAAGTGCAAAGACACAGAACAGAACACGCTTCGTTAGCAGGCCATTTCTTTAACAGCTCCATTTGGAAACAAATTAAGGTGTATGCTTTCTAGAAACCTCACTGGGTGTTACCTGGGCTGAATCAAAGGAAGTGACGACGTTTACCAGTGTTCTAGATGGACTGGTACAGGTGTGTGTGTGTGTGTGTGTGTGTTAGTGTTTGTCTAGGCTCATTACATGTGCACGGTAACCAGTGTGAAACTGTGTTTGCTTAGTGTACATGTGAGTGAATGTGTACCAACATCAACATGGGAAAACACACACCCTGCTGATTCAGCGGTGCGCTGCTGCTCTGACAGAAGAGAGAAGCCGGGATCTAAGTGTGTGCTGAGTGAAGACATACAGCAGCACACAGCGGCTTGAATGTAAAGCAGTGTCCTGGGTTATCTGTTTTTATGTACATATACTGTATATGCACTCATCAGCCACTTTAATATTCACACCTGTACATTTGTATGCAATTCAGTGTAACACTTCTGCCTGATAAAGCTCAGAATGGTTCAGTTTTCAGTGGAATTGTCTTAAATTCAATTCTGTGTTTTTATTGAGGTCATAGTTAAAGGTGCTGTTCTACTGACTACATCATATTCAGGTGTTATATTTCGTCCTCTCCAGCTACGTACATGTCTGCTGCCACACCGTATCACACAAACACAGCAAAGTTATGTTTATCTGTCTTTTTATGGTTTCCCAAAAAGGATGAAAATGAAATGTGTACAAAACGAAAACTATGTCAGACGTATCTGTCATTTTGTGATTTCAGCATGCGCTGTTGGCCTTCAAGTTCATCCTGGCCTTCCTCATTGCGGATGTTCCAAAACACCTCCAGATCAAACTGGCCCGCCTGGAGTTTGAGTCACTGGAGGCCCTCAAGAAGAAGGTACAACAGTACTGTAAAAGCATTAGCTGTTCTATGACATGTACATATTCTTTATACAGTCATTTATACATAATTAAGGAGAAAAGGCATCCCAGCCATTGATCAGTATCCATCAGCATTGGAGACTAAGCAGACACCATGAAAAACTCTTCAAAAAGCTTTGTTGCCATTAACATTTGCTCTCATTGCAGTGTTGCATGTGCTTCTAACATACTTAAGGCATGGTGCAGATGCTGCTCTTTTGTTTGCTTTCAGGTTAGTAATTAGCAGCAGCAGCAGCTTTTTTGTGATTTCTTTAAACTATGTGAAACTATGTGAACTATGGGGAGCAGAGGACGGTGTTTACTGTCAACTTTGCTGAACAGTGTCAGCAAGAAACACACACAGAGCTGTTTGATGCCTGGAAACAAAATGTCTGAAAGAAATGTGCTTAGGCTGAGCTAAATCTAAATAAACTGCTCAGTGAAAGCCTGTAGCACACAGAAGCACACTGTGCCCAGGACATGCCTACTGTCATTTAGCAAGGCAGCTGCACCGCTGGCCAGTGCTCGGCACTATTTTACTGTGTGTGTGTGTGTGTGTGTGTGTGCGTACATGTCCACAGCTGCTTCATCAGTAGTGTTATCCAGCTTTTTCCACACTGCTGCTGCTTTCAGAGCTCTGCTTATTACTGTACTCTGCTTGACCCATTTCAATATATTTAAATAAAAACGGCTGCATAATTTGACTAGATATACGCTACGACCTGGGTCTTTCAGAGGTTTCCAGTGATTTGGTTCATTAACCTCCGTGAGTGGGAAACTAGACTCATCATTCTGCCAACCTGAGGAAATGAATCTCAGTCGTCATTGCGATGAAACAAACCTGCTGTTGGCATACTTGAAGAGCTTAACATCCAGTTGTGTTTCACTGGTTTAAACAGAAAACTAAAATAGTGCTAGATCATCTGTGCTGTGGTCAGTAAAATGTCAAACTGAGCACCATTAATACTCTGTTATCCTATTGTTCAGCCTTCTGGGTGCAGTCAGTTACCAGCTGTGTGTTCAGAAGTCAGCTGTACAGTTTTAAAAGCCAGGGGTAAAATCAACAAATGAAATCTGTGGGGGAGTTTTAGTTCAAAGTTACTAGCGACTGTTTTAATCAGGGCCTGCATGTGTGAATTTGGTGGTTTTGTTTTTAGCGTTTGTGATGTAAATATTACACAAGCACACATTGCAGTATCAGCACTGATGGTGTACTGATTGTACCATTTTATCAGGTATTAATCATATGCTGATGGTGGTGCACACAGTTTGTTGAGGCTGCACTAACTCCTTGGCTAAACTAGCAGCCTCCTCAGGCAGACTGGATGGAGAGCATATGGCCATTACACCATGCTGCTCCACAGCTTCCCGTTTAGCATAAAGACCATGTTCTTGATGCCTGTCCCAGACCACTTTGCTGAAGACAAATGGAGTGCCCTATGGTAATAGTATAGCTGTGGCTCCAGGGTAAAGCATTAGCGTGCTCAGCCATTTGTTTGACATGGACTGATGGGGCTGAATACTCCTGTGATGAGCCGGTCACTTGTGGTTCATACTTTCTCTCACATGGTGTGTCTGAGTCTTACTGCTGCTGCTCGGTGCGTTACCGTTTTGCAGGTCTGCCTCTTGCTGCTTCATAGTGTGTTCATCCACAAGAATGGCTGTTTCCTAAATCTACCTTACCAAGCAAATTACATTGAGAAATCGGTGGAGTTCTGCAGTCTGAATCAGTGAAGGTCACAAGTTCACGCTTTTTACAGACAGTATGAAATGTGTCTTATGGGAGAATAAAAGCAGCCTTGTTCCAGCCCTACATGGGCTGCAGTCATGGATGAACACCTGCCATAGATTGGTGTAGTTCACCTGCTTCTTGTGTTGTCTGCCAGTAAAGTTCAGGGTTGTCTGTGGTCTCTTGGTTCTGCAGAGACGGCTCCATGGAGGGTGAGTAGCTCACTCTGGGTGCAAGTGTGGATGACACTGCTGGCATTACTAAATGGCTTTGTGCTTTCACTGTTGAGTTAGTGGATGATATCCCTAATCTTTAATCATCTTATCTGATGTTCTAACTCAAATGGTTTTGTTGTGAGTCTGTGATCTAACACACTTGATGTTCTTCAGCATGTCAGTGAGACTGTGTGAGGTTTTCAGTCTTAACTCTGATAACACATTTTAAACTTGGCATATTGGTTATTTAACAGTTAGATTACATAATACCTTGCTTTATCACACCAAACCAACTGTGTGCTTTGGGACTCGGGATTAGACAGATCTCCTGATTCTTTAAATGGGGGATTTTGTTTTTCTGCCTTGTCCTTTTGCAGTGGGCGACCCCCTGTTTGACCTCAGCTTCAGAAACATGGGCAGATAGAAAAGTGATCACACGCAGTTCAAACTGGATTTGTTTGTTGAACTACTGATCGAGACTGTCTGTGTTCATCATGGAAATGAAAGTAGTCATGTGCAACACTGCCAAAAATACAGTGCAGGAGTCAGGAGAGCTGTTTAACATGCATATGAGATATGAATTAACCTGGAACTGCAAGCGTGTTTGTAAACATGCTGTTTGCTTTGATTAGTTCTTAATTAAATTTGAAAATTAGACGGGAACATTTGCAACAAGTTGCCCTTTCCTCCATGCTGTTGTACAGATAAATAATGTAGCTAAATGTGCGTATTGGCGCTGTGTGCCAGGCTCTCAACACGCAGACACACACAGTCACACAGGGTATGTAGGACAAGTGGTGAAGGGATCTTGTGCAGAGGGTTCACATTCAGACACTTGATCAGACAGACAAGTGACTTTCTTGGCTGCACTTCTTCAGCTCCAGCTCACCTTCCTTTGCAGCGCCAGCTCAGTAGTCACAGCAGAATGAGCAGCCTCAGCTCAAGATCCTGTCATACCTGAACCCTGACTTCATTAGCTAGACAACCAGTCTAGCTACCAGGGGAGAGCTTTCCATTTGATGTCATCCAGCACATTCTGCATACATCTACTGTGTACTGTATGTACTATAATATGTCACCGCTGCAACGTTTCATCTTAAACAGTAGAGACATAGACACAGCCCGAGCTGTTTAGTTTTTGAAATGCTGATCTGAAAGGAATTCTGAAGCCATCTGAAGAGTGGGGGTCATTGTTTGAAAAAGCCTCTCCCGAGCTTTCTACAAATGATTTGTGCATATCTACTGCGCTTTATTTGGACATTTCCAGTGTGTCCACTTCACAACCTGTAAGCCAGGGGGCTTCCCATACTCTAAGCAGCTTTAAAAAAAAACTTGACACTTTGCTATCATGTTCTTTAAGAGGTTTCATTGTCAGTGTCATTAGCTTGTGCGGGTGGATGTCAGCGGCTGTGGGATCAACTGCTTAAAAATTAGCACTGGCATTATGTATCTTTTTTACACATTTACATGATCATAAGACAAACCTTTATATGGAAATGGAGAATCACAGTGGGCACAGGCCAGTCAGTGGCTAGTAGCACAGTTTGGTGGGCACAAACCTGTGACAGTGGCTGCATGATGCCTTAAACTGAGATGCAGCAGTATAGGTTCTGGATTTCTGTGTCTGCAAAGAACTGTGTTCAGTATTGTGCTGAGCAAATAAACACAGTTATTTGAGATCATCTGCAAATGTAATGGACATTTTTCACAATTTTCTGCAATTTACTAGATTAAACAGTCAATAAATTGATACGGTTTTGCACAGATGAAGCAGGTGTTAGTTGTTGTTGAGAGGTCTGATGTAAGAGGAGTTCAAAGAGGCCATCGTCTGTGTTTAGGATGAAAGTCAGGCCTAGGCTCCAGCAGTGTTTGTGTTAAAGAAACCAGCAGTTGGGCCTGGAACAAGTGTGAGCAGAGCAGGTCCACACTTATAACTACAGCAGCGACCTGGTCAAGTCACTATAGTTGAGCAGGGGAACATGTCTCCTGCACATAAACACACAGTTCACTTCATAAAACGGAAAAGAACAGTGTCCCTCAGACTCAGCAGCTTCCTGACTACAGCACATGTTGTGGCAGTTACGCTCACATATGACCCATATGTGTGTGCAGAATCTTGGCCACCACAGATTAGAGATTATGACAAGTAGCTGGTGAGGATGAGTAACACACACAGGCCTGACAGAGAATCACTTTAAGTGTTTGGCCTGTAGCCTTCATAACCATGACATGCAGAGCAGTCAGAGCGAGTAGCCCCACACCTCAGAGGGTTAAACCCAGACCTGCAGAGGCTGTGTGAGTTTCTGTGTGTGTGTGTGTGTGTGTGTGTGTGTGTGTGTGTGTTCCTGTTCACATTAGAAAGCCTAGACACCAGTGTGGTGTCTGCGTAAAGCTCTGCTTCATCTCTCTCTGATCAGCACTGACATATCAGGACAGTTAGCAGACCCAGCAGGGGGAGCAGGGGACACTGTGCTGTGTAAGACATCTGTGGTTTTTGAAAAATACCATACATAGTGAGGGCTCTGGCCTTTGTCCATTGAGCGTCTTATATCTCGTAACATCCAGTTTATTCCGCCTGTGATCAGGGCAGGAAATGATCATTTTCATCACAGATACATTGTTTAGTCCAATAAAATGTGAGAAAACAGAGCAAAGTGCTCATCATGATTTCTCCAAACCCAATGTGATTGTGTCCCAAATAGACTGATTTATTTTATTGGTGTCATGCACAAAGTGCCCAGCCCACATACGTATATATTGCATTTACAGGGAACTAAAACAGAAAAAGGAGCAAACCCTCATATTTGAGGAACTGGAACCAGCTCATGTTTGACATTTGTTCTTAATAAATGATTCAGAATAGATGGACAGATCAGTTGATCTCAGTCTTTGTCCTTACCTGCTGTAATGAACATTACCAGCTGCCTCCCTGCAGATCACTCTATGGGACAGAAACTTTAGTAACATCTAACACCTCTGAACCTCAGATGAAAACTCCCTGCTCTGTCTCACCAGCGGCACTGAGGAATTCACTGCCAAGATCAGCATCAAGGGACAAGGGATGTCTTCAAAGTCGTGGGCTGTAATTTATTGCCAGACACTGTTGGAGAAGCATGGAGGTCATTACAGTACATCTCTATTCACAGTTTGGCACAAAGATCTGCTCTTTGCATGCGTGTCCAGCCTTGTGGAAACCCCCACAGACAGACACCTTGGCGTTTGGGCAGCTGTGGACAGATCAGGTTTGTGTGTCAGGAGATAATCTCTGCTGTCCTGCTTCTGATGACCCGGGCTCCTCGCTGAGATCTGTGTTGTCAGCAGAGCAGTCCAAACAGTTCCCACCTGCCCTCTGAATGTCTAGTCGTCCCTTTCTGGCAGACTTCATCAGCAAGAGATTGGCCAGGCCTCTGCAGAGCTGCAGTCCAGCTCACTGCTCAGGACCTAGTGTCATTTTGGGAAACAAAGAAACAGTCTGCTATGATACAGGTAACACCAGCCTATGAAGGTGTGTTTACATGACCTCTGCAGTATCCTCAGGGTCAGACTGTGCACAGGCTTTAAGAAATGGGAAAAACAAACATTTGGCATTTGCATTGCATATTATGGATGTTTCCACCTGCTCTGCCTCCAACTGTTACTTCACCCTGGATACACATGCAGCCAGAAGGTTGGTGGGAAGGTGGGTTTTTCCAATCAAAGGCAGAGCTAACAGGAAAGGCTGGATACCAGCTCCCTTCACCGCCTGTGAAATCACATTGTACCTTCCTGTAGAGAAGCAACTTACCATAACTGTGCTGCTGTTTGTTGTCTGTGTTTCAGAAAATGCTGGAAGCCTCCGAGCACAGTAAGATGGCCCAGTGAGGAGGAGAGGAGGGCCTACAAATTCTGATGGCGCACCTCCAACAGCCACACCACAACTATAGCACAGCTATAGCACATCCCGCTGCTGCTTACACTGCTGCACTGACACACATTCACATGTACGTACAAGGGCAAGTTTGTGTAACTGATCTGCATCCACAGTATCTTAGGTTTCACTTGGGTCAAAATGGGATAAGCAGGAATTTACTGTTGCAAGTGTTGAAGAGCAGATCACTGTTTTAGGTGCACAGTTGTGTACCGAATATTTTGTGTTGGTCTGTGAATGTGATGTACTGTAAAACGGTTTTATTTAGTGTGTTGATGACATGGGATAAATGATGGTGAAAATGGAACAAATTTGGTAAAAGCCCGCTGTTGAAATCACAGAGCAATACTGTATTCTGCCTTCATATACTGTAGCAAATACTGTTTTCGTTTTATTTTTTAATCAAGTACATTTTCTGTTGTACTGTATGTGTGTTCTGTTCGTCAGCCACTGAGATTACTTTGAGTTGGGTTCAATCAGTACTGGATGTGAGGGATGATGTACTGCCTGCTGGCTTAGATTACATACCATAACTGATGCTGGCTGGGTTAGAGCTGTCTGTTATTGGGTCTTACATCCAGCTTGAGTCCTGAGCTCCAGGTATGGGAGCAAAGAATGGCCAGTAACATTTGAGTTTTATTGAGACAGAGCACATTTAGGCCATGTCCACACCAGGGGGGAAACAGTTCATCCGTTTCCCCATTGTTCCTGCTAATGCCTTGCATTTTCCACACTTTGTCTTCTTAAAGCTTCAGGTTTTTAGTACCACAGCTTGTAAAACTTTAACTCTGGGTTCTTCAGACTTTTGGTAGTGCATCTTACCACGCCACTGATTTTAGTCATTTTTCAGTTTTTTCACCAACTTGCAATCCAAAATCAGAGTATTCAGTAGTGATTCATTCTCACAATTAAGCATTTAGTTTCTTATAAAATGCAAATTATTATGGCCTTTCTTTGCTTCTGTATCCCAGAGATGAGATGGCAAATGTTATTATTGAGCTTTCTTATCTTAGCATGTGATGTGACCAGGGTATTTATTATCTTCCAGTGGAGAGGACTAGTACTTGAGGTTTTAAACCATGTATTCTTGTACCACCCCTGGTGCCTTGAAATGCATTACAGTCTGAATATTTGTTTTGTATGCTGTTGTGGAGAGTAGACCTAAACCTAACCTATCTGCCATCTGTGGCTTAAATTAACCTGTAAAAGAGGAAGTGAAGTGTGTGTGTCCAACTGTACCTGCTGCATGTTTGCACTCTAGTATTTTATGGCAGGAGACCTGAACCATGCTTTACATGGTCCCTCTTAAGTTCCTGGTGGAAGATGGACTCTGAATAAACTTGGAGCATGTTGTCTGCTCTGGGAGCTTCTGCGTTACTTAAGTGGCTTAGAGTTGAGTTTGCCAAGCACAGAGTAAACCTCCTCAGGTTCGTGTAGCACATTAGTCACAGTATGCTTTTCAACACAGTCAACAACCTGGGTCACAGTCTCACATCTCTGACCTGCATCTTAATCACACTGGTGTAAGATGAGTTTATTGGTTTTAAGGTACTGTAGCTTATAAGGTTTCACAGTCACCATCTTAGTTTAATGTGTTAGCAAGCTAACATTTAGTGACTAGCACAGCTGAGGCTGGTGTTTTTGCAAGTATTGGACAAATTAACACAGTAGACTGGGACACTGCCATCCCTGAAGCAACACTTCTAGCATGACAAAAAAAATGTTTAGTTCTAAGGGGAGTTGGGGGAGTTATTCCAGCACTGGAAGATCACTTTCACCCAGTTTGAGCCAACCCAAGAAAGAGCCGGGAGAGCCCATGTATAAGACAGTGTTCCACATTTTATTTTGGGATATTACCATAGCTATAAGTAACATCTGACAACAGGTATCAACTACAGAATAATACAGTGAATATTCCTGTCCGTTCCAACTCATCCCTTTTCCTTCGGTTGCTTTTTGGTCCTGTAACAGTTCTGTGGCGGATGTTCTCTCCTCCCAGTGTCACTGAATGTCTAACATTGAAACACATGCACGTCATTCACCTGGATACAGCTGAGTAAGACAACAGTCAAAGAGACCTGACGGTATGAATAGAACAGTGTCCTTTTTTCCTCACACGGCTTTTATTTTTAGCTGAGACACCCACACAATATTACTAATTATCATAAGGCTAGAGTACTGTACAGCTATGCACCAAAAGTTTTACTCCTGTTCTAGATAAAGAGATAGAGCACCGTATTTACAATTCTATTTACATTTGGTTTTTTTTTTAAATAAAAGTCCAACAAGAACCAGAGAAACATTTTTAAACATGGCGTTCCTTTTTCTTCTTTTCAGTCCAATGTGGCCATTGTAAGGTTGCACTAGTTTGGAATTTAAAAAATGAAACTAATGAAAAATGGTTCTGTACATATAGCTGCAACACACCGTATAGCTTATTGCTAATGCCCTTAAACAATTTCTCCATTTCCTCTCGTTCATTTGTTCATATCTGGCCAGCTCCTTTAAACCCGGGAGTTGGGACCTCACACAGGCCCCGTCATCGTTTTAAAACAGCAGATCGCTCAAGAGCGTATATGTTTTAAAAATAAACTTTACTTTTCAACATACTGTATACACATACTCAGCACACGAGTACACACACTGCGCCCACATGTGAGCACAGGTGGGACTAAAAGAAGCCAGCAGAGGTCAAATCAGAACCAACTACTTGGATACTGGGATTGTGTTTGTGCTTCCACATAGTCACACACACACAACAGATGCTCTCTCATCAACTACAGCAACGTAATGTCAGAAGTAAAAAAATACCTCATATTTAAATATATGGTCAGCAGTAACATGCCCAAACGTGTTGGTGTTGCACACTGATGCTACAGTATCAATACAATCAGCTGTTTGCTGCCACAGAGGAGTGCACATACTGTGACGAAGCACCAGGTTTCCTCATAGTGCTTTCCAACTTAAACACTTAACTGTGTTCAAGAGACACTTGTCCAAATTTAAAGGGTTGTTGTGGTGTGATCACATGGAGCTGAAGTCATCCTGGTTAAAAAAAAAAAAAAAATCTAAAAAAAACAAAACAAAACAGATTGTCTGGGAGCAATATGGAGTCCAGACCTTTCCTCTTCCCTTCATGCACAAATGTGGTCCCAGGTACCTAAATCCAGTTGGTGTCACCAGTGGTATCACTGCCAGCTAACATTCAGAGAGACCAAAGGTTAGAGGTGACGGGAGGAGGGAAGGATGTCAGGAACATTTGTGTGGTCTGGTCATGTCTGGTTGCTTCCTCTCAGCTGCCTGCTACAGTGCAGCACTCAGCCACTCCTCTCTGCAAGCGCCTGCTTTTAAACTGTGGCGCACTATGACCATGTATGGCTAGGTACAGTATCGGGACCACTGTCAGGAGTAACGGAGTAGTAATGTGACGAGAATTAACTTCACAAGTCAATATTACAACAATAAAATATAAAGGGTACAATGAAAAAGCCATAATTAATTACATTAGAATTTATAAATAAACAGTCAATCTAAAAATGTTAACAGTGAAGAGAAAATGATTTTACTTGGAAGTTGTAGTTTTACAAAAATCTCATAATATTTCAAGAATAAAGTTACAATCTTACAAGTGATGTTATAAAAAGGTCAAAATTATGAGAACAAGTAATTTCAGAAACAAACTGTCATCTTGAAATCTCACAACATTCTCTCCATCGCTTTTTCCAAAGTATGGCTTCATTTTCAAAATAATTAGACTTGTCATACAATCTCAACTTAATCTTGAAATATTACAAATATTTTTATAAAATTACAATTTGATCTCATAAAATTACCTTTTACCTCTAAAAGTATGACTTAATCTCAAAGTATTTCAGATTTTTCCTGCCAAAATTGCAACTGCATACTTTTGGGTAAAACAACTTTATCCTTATGATATTAAGATTGCTTTCTCTTATTTATTAAAAATTAAGACATACTTCAACATTTGGACTCTTAACAGAGTTTTCCTCCCCAGAGGCCCTAACAGTCTGCGGGACTGCGACCACTGTGTGTGTCCCGTCCTGAACCAGTTACCATCAGTAAAAGCCTCCATATCTGAATGTTTTAAAGCCAGCATATTCTTATCAAGAATGTAAAAATATTAGTTCAGCTCCTCTAAAGAGCATTTGTTGGACAAAAAAAAAACAAGGATAAAAAAAACACACTAAACACGATGATATATATTAAAAGCAGCTATTAGCAATGCACACTTCAGGTGCACAAACAGTAAGCAGAGCACAGAGGGAAGGAGACAAAGTGACAGTGCAGAGAATTGGAGCAACTCAGAGCTGAGAGACAATACGAGACACTGAGACCACAGCAGGAGGCAGGAGGCAGGTGGACAGGCTCCGCTACAGCTCAGCACATCAGTGGGCGCAGTAGTGTGTTCAAGAAAAGGTGGAGAGGTGATCCAGGAGGGAGGGTTTTCAGCTGTGTGTGGTCCACAGAGAGTCAGAGCACTTCAGATGACCTGGCAGCAGCTGGCTGGAGCTGAGGTACAGAGCAGGCCATCCCCTGAGCCCCCACCCCGCTGGATATTGACAGAGATGGTCTTCTCGCACAGAGGTAGTTGAAGCACACTGTTTTTCAAAGCGCTCAGGCTGCTGTGAGCGTCCCTGCTGCCCGAACCTGAGTGCAGACTGGGGTGGTGGTGCTGCGCTGTTTTGTGGTGTTGGTGCTGGGCACTGTGTGTGCGAGGCGGAGCGACAGTGGTCGGGAGGGTGATGGTGTCCAGGCTCTTGGTGGAACTGATGGACATCCTCCACGCCGATTTCTCCTGGATCTTTACACTCCCTCCTGACAGGCTGCAAGGGTCTATAATGAACTTTCCCCCTCCTCCTCCTCCTCGCCCTGCCCGCCCCCCGCGGTGGTGCTGCAGCTGGGAGCTGAGGCACAGACTCATTAGCTTCAGACTCTCCACCAGCTCGGTGCCGCGGCTCGCAGTGCGGGAGGACCGGGACAGGGATCTGAGGGAGGGGTTGGTGGTGCTACTGTTGTTACAACTGGAGGGGCTGTCTTGTCCTTTATCACCCCCTCCTCCTCCTCTCCCACCATCACCACCACCACCCTCTCCCTGCACCCCCCGTTCCCACCCGAGCTGCCAGGAGGCCCCTCGCTGCTGTCCCTTCTGTTCCAGCTGTAACCAAAGCCCGAGTCTTTATCCAGACGTCTCCGGTGGCTCTCTGAATCGTCGTCACTCGTCTCAGAGCTGGAACACGATGACCCCCTGCCCTGGCTCTTCCGTCGGTGGTAACGCTTCTGCGTAGAGCCCGGGGAGGATGAGCCGGCCCCGGAGCTCAGGTTGGTGGCGTTCCCAGCCATGTTCATCTTGAGACGGCTGAGTTTGGGTGGAAGACCCTCGTCCATGTCAAAATCATCGTCAGACTCCCCCTCCTCAAAGATCTGGTTGAGCACAGGTGCACTCTTCCTGGAGGTGAGGCGGTTGGTTATCGAGGGGGGCTTGCGACGCAGGATCACCTGGGTTGGGAGGGGAGATGGATCCTGCTCTTCCTCCTCCTCCTCATCCTCCTCCACCCTGAGAGACAGATAGCACAAGTTAGTGTATACTTTTAAATGCCTACTGCAGTTCAAACCCCTCTATTTCCAGCTAGTCAGATGGGTAGAGCCCATGTCTAGATTCAAATAATCACGCTTATTTCTTAAGCCAGGATGTCAAAAAAGCTCTTCAAGCAGGTTCCACCTTCCCAGATATGAATGTTTGCTTAATCTATTTCTTTAGCTGTTGCCATGTTCAATCAAAGACCTTTGGGTTTAGTAAAACAAACATTTCAATGTGTTATATTGAGTTTTCTTATGTACTTAATCTTTTAATAGAGAAAAGAGCTCATACATTAATCAATAATGATTGGCTGATATTTCTTTATCTTTCAGTGATAATGAACATTAAATCAAAACAACCAAACACCTTCACCCCTGAAACTAGTAAAAAAACAAATCCAAACCTGAACAGGCAAGTTCGCTGCTTGGCTGCTGCTGCTGAGGTGGAGGCGGTGGGGGCCCTGAGGGGCCCTGAGCCAGATGCAGGGCCAGAGGCAGCAGCACAGGCTCCCTTGAATGAGAATTTAAAGAATAACACAGGATGTTAATTGTCCAGCGCATTCAACAGCAGAGACCACATGAGCACAGCTTCAATCATCAGTGAAAAATCTTCCAAACAAAAAGGTGAAATAAACAGAGCGGTAAAGACGTGTGCACCTGTGGTGGCAGCCCTGCAGAGTCCGTCACTGTCATCTCCTCTCGTCGGCTCAGCTCCATCATGCCTTTGGAGCGATGTCCATTGAGCAGGTTCTCGGCGCTGCGAGCCGGGGACTGGGGGCCTCCAGCATGGGAGATGGAGGATGCTGCCAAGCTGTCCTCTATGTCCTGGTGCATGTCCCCTCTGGTGGGCCAGGACTGCCTGTAGACACAGTCAAGACAGAGGAGGGAGGAGGATTAAACACACAGCATTAGAGATGCTGTATTTAGATGGTTCTATTAAAATATGTCGATGTTGTACCATACCATACAAATGTGAAGAATAAAACAACCTCAGGTGAAATCATGCCGACACTCCACCTTTTACAAATCAACTCAGATGTGCTTCTAATAAGTCATTTGTGTCCATGCTGGGCACTGATCAGTGTAGAGCTGCTGCACAAAGGCCACCGTCTGTTTTCAGTTTTAACTCAACCACAGCTGCTGGTATATTTCCCAAAGCACTGGAATGCAACTCAGACTAATCTTTCATAAGACCCCACCCACCACCACCACGCACACACACACACCATGATACTAAGATTAAGTTATTTTGATGCAAGTGCTGAAAAGCACAAATCATAATGAACTGAACATTTTTGGTGTTACTGCAATATTAAAACTTAAATAAAATCCATGGAGCTGCAACTCTGCTGGGAGGGATCATGAATGAGCCAATGAGAGCAAACTAACTATGGCTTGGCCGACTCCTTCCTGGAAGGTTTGTGTTGACAGGAAAGAGCTGCAACATGCAGTGAGGCTGAGCCATCCCCTGACAGCACTGACAGCTAATCCCAGGTGAGGCATTGCTGTTAGCTCAGCACACACGAATGCACCGTCGCTGACTACAGCTCACATTTGCAGGGAAAGCACATCTGCATACAAACACAGGCAGATCTCGGACTCCATTCACAGGTGGATAAAATTAAAAACTTTTCTATCTACAAAGCCCTTGTGTTCTGATGTAAGTGGCAAAGGACTGGGACAGATGCAGCCAGCTCACTCTCAGCAGACTGAACCACTGCTTTGTCACCTCCCACTGTCTATCATGACTTGTTCTGAGTTTTAATACACACCAACTGAAAATGCTGTTGTTTTCATTGACTTGTGTGTCCTGTTGTTGTCATTCAGCTGAACAAGTGGCTCACGCTACCTGTTAACAGTAAATTACCTGAGCCGATGCACTGAAACAAAAAATGACAGCACCTGTATCTTATGACCACTTATATTAAAACTGAGTGCTCACAGAGAGACGCAAAAGAAATTCAACTTAAAACATACAAGTGTGCACCTACTGTGAAAGGACCAAAGCTGTGCTACACTGTTATTTTCATGATTACTGATTATTGTGGTATTCAATGACCTGTTTAGTGGGTAGCATATCAATTGGCACAAGCAACTCATTGGGGAGACTTATTCTGCTTGTGATATATTACAGTGATTGTATGTGCGTTACTATTTAAAAGCATAATTTCAAAATTGATAGTTTTATGAGGAAACCCACTCAAAGAGAGCATGCTGCTCTGACATACTGTATGCACAGCCACTGAAGTTGTTCAAACTTTAAAATGCTCACGAGACTTTAAACTTTCAAAGATGTAATCTGTGTTTTGTTACAGTTCTGGAGCAATTCAGGTCAAAAATGACTGTGTTTACAGGTGTTTTGAGACAAAAGCTTTACTTTTAGGTTAGTTCTTTTCTACTCCAGGAACCTTGTGCTTTGTTTCAGTAGGTTGCCTGAGCAGCTTAGTCACCAGCATAAGTTTTACTTTATTTGCAACAACATTAAACACACATTGCTGCATGCTTTAGGAATCAATTTTATTTTGTTGAAGCATAAGAGTTAATGAATACATTTACTGTTATTACTCTTAATAGGACATTTAATCTATATTTAACCTAGTGCTGCTGTAGTTGTACAGTATGTTTATGTTTCATAAGAGAATTCAGTTCATACTTGTGCCAGGTCTAAATGCCACAAGACCTGAAGTCTGTCATCCCAACTTTAGCAGTCATTCATAACGACATGAGACCAATATGGAAAGCTGGCAGAAAGGAATGTGTCCTGTTGAACCCTCCTCACTGCTTTCTTCCTTATTTGTTCTTCTCCTCTGCTGCGCTCCCTTTTATAACTGTACACCATCCAGCTCTCCTCTTCCTTTCAAGAACAACAATGTTGTCAAAGAAGCTCAAAAGAAATGCTTAAAGGTAAGATAGTACTTTACTGATCCCACAATGGGGAAATTCCTGTGTTCCAGCAGCAACAGGAATAAACTAAGACATATTTTCTTAGTGTTTAGCATTATGATGGCTGAACTCACCAGGGGCATTGGAAGAACATAGAACATCAGTTAGTATCTTAGTTTTCCATTATTCGAGGGCCTGAATCTGTTAACAATCCAAACTGTTTCTTCTCCCATTTCACTCTGAGCCCAGCAAGAGGGGGCTCAGTGAACCCAGAAATGGAAATGAAGCCTTTGCAGATCTAACCCAGTGTTTAGTAACCCTGGCTGCAGTGGAGCGAGATAGGTCAGTTACCCTCACCTCATACTCCGCAAGTCATGATGATGATGAGCACTGATATGTCTGACTCACTCTTTACTGGTTCTGGCATGGGAAAGGTCACTCTTTTATTTACAGTCCAAGCTGTAATGATAATGTTTTCATGCTTGCTGTGTCACTGCATCTTGTTACTGCTCCTTACCTGAAGTGTGCCTTGATGTTGCTGGGGCTGGATGAACGGGTCTGGACCTCCTTCTCCTGCTTCTCTCTCAGGATCCTCTCTGCTAGCAGGTAGTATGTGGCCGTGATGTGGTTGTATTTGTTGGTCTCCAGGGCTCTGAAACATTTCAGCCACATTAGGAACATACACCAAAGGAAAGCACACTGTGTAGAAAACAGAATATAATGTAATAAATTGGACAGAGTTATTCTGTGGTAACAAGAATGCTGCATGTCTACATTCACGACAATTCAAAATATGCTGTTTTCAAAAACAGTTGTTTAATGTTAAGATTAATGTGGTTCTGTGTGGTTGAATCTGCTCATTTCTGTCTAGGGCTGCGACTAAATTATTTTCACATATGGTTATATCTAATCAATAAATGTTTGATTAAATAACTGTTGCATCTACAAAAAAAAACAAAAAAAAAATTACCACACAACAAATGCAACAATATAAAAGGAAATGAATTATTTCAGCAAACAAATTTTCACAGAATAACAGCAGACAGTATCTCACTGGGGGAAATGTATTTATCGTTTGGGGCCTCAATTTGTAGAATTAAAGGAAGAGAGTGGACATTCTGCAGCAACCCAAACAATACGACACACACTGCAGGATATGTTCCAAGCTGACTTCAGGAGAGCTGAGTGCAGACACCGAGGCTAAAGCTGCGGTGGTCTATAAATCCCTCTGTGCTGTCGAACTGCAGTGCTTTGTTTTCTGTTTCTACAGAAAACATGTTAAATACAAAAGATGTCAAGTGTGGAGTGGTTTAAATGCATCTGACAGCTGAGTAATTAAAGTAAATAGTAATGTAATGAAATACTTTTGATACTCAAATTAGTAAAGTAACATAATTACTTTCTAAAATAAAATAAAAAACTTCTTTTATTTGTATTTGTTTAATTTGCTGTTGATGCTGTTTGCACAAGGTTCCAAGTTCGAGCCCAGGCTGACCTCATCTGTGTGGCCTTTCTGTATTGAGTCTGCATGTTGTCCTTTGCCTGTGTGGGTTCTAGCTTCCTCCCACAGTCCACAGACATACAGCTTAGGTTGCTTGGCGACTCTAAATTTCCCCTAGAAGAGTGTGTTCGTGGTTGTTTGACAGCCCTGTGACAGACTGGTGACCTGTCCAGGGTGTACCCCGCCTCTCACCCAATGTCAGTTGGGATTGGCTCAAGCCCCCCCCCCATGCTACAGGTGATGGAGGGACGCTGTTTGTTGTGGACAAAAACTCAGCACCTCCAAAACTTTCATGTTTACTTGCAATATTTTTCACCTGTCAAACTTCCTGCCTTCTCACTGAGGCCATTTTAAGTGCAATTTGAAACACAAACGTAAGTGGATGGAAACGCACTTCATGTTTTGTTGTATTAAAAGCACCAATCAAATCATTAAATACTGTACATGTTGCATACAAAGTGTACAAAATTGTATTTAAAAATACAAAGACAGCTGTTACTTTTTAAAATCAAAAATATCCAAAAGAGAAGGCAAATTTATAGGGTTAAGATAGAAATAAGGTAACGGACCAAAACTGAACACTGGGACTAAACCTTAGCATTATGTTCAGCTAACTAAACTGTGATTAGAACATAAAAGGAGAGAACTGCAGCTAAAATGTATTCCTCAGAAATGCCTACTAATAAATGTGGTAGCTCTTTATTTAAACAAGTGGGAGCAGACCAGGGGCACTGTGCATTTATCTATGAAAGCAAATCAAAACATCTTCTCTGTAGATGAGTGAGGACTGTTGTGTGCGGTAGCTAGGCAAGGTTTCAGCTGTATGCCACTTCAGCTTATGAAAGAGCTACTGTATGAGACAGGAGAGCAAAGAATTTAGGGTCAAACACAACTGTAGTGAGAAAACATTACACCCAGACTGACCCAACAGATCCATCAATGATGAAGAATGGCTTGTAAAAACTGAGCAACAGATGCTAAGTTTCTCTTTCTACTACTGTCCCATGAGCTTATAAACACTGGATCACAGCATCTATCTATGTGGTGCGCGCACACACGCTCACCTGTCAGCATACATGCGCACACATGTACATGCACACACACGCTCACTTGTCAGCATACATGCGCACACATGTACACAACTATGAGTGTGCACACAGTAATATGATAGTTAACTGTAGTGTGGTAGCTTGGAAAGGAACAGAGGGAAAACAAAGGCAGAGGTGCAAATGGAGAGTGTCAACACTCAAAGTGTTTATTGCGTGTGTGCATTCGTTTCCCTCCACCACCCCACAGGTAGCTCAGCAGGGGAAGATAAAGGTGAACTGTGAAACAAGGCTAACAAGCACAAGTGTGACCCTGAAATCAACAGCTGTTCTCTCTGCGAGTCCTTTAATGTTGTCCCATACAGCTCTTTCTCAGCATGCAGCAGCACACCAGGCTTTCTCTTATAACTGCAGGCACAGAGAGCACAAGTATCTTAAGGATCAACATCTGTCAGTATGGCTCAGACATTCTGTTGGTGTTATTCTGTGTTATATGGCTCTTCACATACGAGCACAGTGAAGTGAGACAAGAACAGGCTCACTTTTATACGCACTTTTATACAGAGGCAAAAAAATGGAAATGGCACTGCTATCAGTGAAACTGTGTGGTGCTGTATGCTGGCTCAGAATTGACTTTAAACTCAGCAACTCAGCTGAACAATTACTGTGTGGGTGAACAGTATTTACAGCTGAGTTGCTAGATAATCTCATGTTCAGTGATCTCGTACAGTAGAATGTATTTTACACCAAGTCTACATTTTATAAATGAAAAGGTCATAACAGTCAATCAAAGCTGTGGATTCCAAGGACTCCATTCCGCGCTGATTGGCGCCAAAACTCAGGTGGAAATTCCCAGTGGTGCTGTACAAATTGGCGCAGCTACAATGCTAATGTTGCTAACAGTAGATCACCAATGTTACGTTTTAGAGGATCAGGCCGTTTTTTTTTCCCTCTCAGTCTTGGTAACAGCACTTATCTGCTGATATTTTGCTAGCTAAACAGATTGTCTGTCTCGACATGCAGACCATATTTTGTACCGTTTGGGAAAATTCAGAAACATTGGTTACATACTATAACCTGGGCTTCTATGAATATGGGGGAAGCCAGGGTGAAACAGTGATTGGCTAGGAGCACAGAGATCAGACCAACCAGGGTCAAAGTTCAACAGATGTGAACTTTCGTCACACCCCAGCTCCGCGCTACACACCGCGGACGTCTGCGCAGAACCTGCGCATCGCACCACATACACAACAATGGCAAGGCACACACAAAACCGTTTTTCTGCTGTAATGCGAACATTAACATCAGGACTATATGCAAGCAATGTGACAGAGCATTTCCTTCAAAGGGTGCCAACATGATGTTTGTTTGCACAGTAAAGTATAGTGCAGTCTGCACACCTGTAACAACTAGAGCTAATCCTTTTCAAATTAAAATCGAAAATTAAAATAATGCAATTTTCAAGTCACAAAAGCTGCAATTTAAACTGCAATTAAAATGTGTTTTTAATCACTACAGAGTCTAAACAATATTGCAGCATCCCAGTGGGCTTCAGTCACATGCAGTCTGCTCTCTTCCACAGGTTTCATGTGAAACCTGCAGAGGAAATGAGTGACAGTGGATAACACACCACAAAGACACACCAATAACTTTTACTGCCAGTCGCACTGGAAACAGCCACAGCAGAATCAAAGTCAAACATCACCAACCACTATATTACACTCGTGTCAGAGTGGAACAGTACGTTGGTCGTCTGGAGTTATTTTGGTTTTAGACCAGAGGATGCCCCACAGGAACAGGTAATGTGCTGAACGTGACTGGTTAGGATAGTGACAATATGAGGTAATGCCCCAAATGTCTTCCAACATAAAAACAACAACAACAAAAAAATACCCCCACACACAACACAGTTGCCACCTGTCCCTTACAATACTTGGGTCATGATAAATATAATGCACTGTCCCGTTGTCCCGTTTTGGATCAATAAGAGATATAATTTGTCATTTTTTAATGTTTAAATTTATTGTCCACAGTTGTGAAAACATCCCAAGAACTAGGTAAAACTAAACCAGTTCAGAAAAGCTGTGAGACCAGAGGTTAAAGAAGGCTCTGTCATCTTTAGGCATGTGGAGCAGCATAGTCTGCTGTGGTTACCTCCTTCACCTCCATCTCCCTGCACTAACTAAGGTTGGGTTGGTCCCACGGCTCCGCCACCTGGTTACCATTCTTACTATTATTATCATTAACCCTTGAGACAGCAGCAGTGACTATTGTTAACCCACTTTATATAAATAACAGTTTAAAAAAGTGTGGCAAAAAAAAACGTTTCAGAAGGTTCAGAACCACAGCTCCCACTGAGTCCAGTACCACCACCAGTCAAGTTTCACAGCATAAGAGATAGTCAGAAGGAAGCTAGTCTGAGTTTATTGAGCAGGGTGATGTTGTATAGCTTGGTTTTCTGCTCTGGGTTCATCAGAAATTCCTATACACTGATTAAAGTCTGTGATAATGTGATGAGCTCAGATCGGCAGAATCCTACAAATGAAGAAAGAAAAGAAAATTTGCATTTTCTCTATTTACTGCTGTACTGTCCAGTTTGAATTCTAATCTCACACATCACACACCCTAACCTATACCCAAAAAACTAGTTGTACTGTGGAGAGGAAAATGGAAAAACAAATACAAGTTACTATGATTAGATTATTTTCCAAACCACTCAGCCCTAGTAGTAACTTACTCGACTATGGCCTCTCGGTCTGCGATGTCTCCTAACACCATGCGCTGGATGATGCTGTTGTGTTCCTCCTCGGACAGGTTCTTGTGAGACACCAGAGGAGTGCTGTATTTGGTAGCTGGAGATGGGTCAACCCCCTGCAGCCAGGCATGGCTCTCAATTTCCTCCAGGGAAGCTCGCCGTTTGGGATCCCTCTGAAGCATACGGTCTATCAGACTGAGGCCAGAAGGAGCAGAGAGGGGAGGGACAGGAAGGGAGCACAAGGGAGAAAGAGAAAAAGCACACAGCTTGAACTTGATCTGAATTTAAAAATCACTGAAATTCTGTGAAAATATCAGCCAATATCAGCTTTATTGACGTTGGATTGAGGGATGTGAACTCCATCTGATCAACATTTGGTTCTGGTTGGTGTTGGCTTATTTTGGCAGCTCGAGTAAGCATCCTTGAGTATTTGCCAGCCATACCCGGCTGTTATATTCAAAGTCCGGACAGGTTAGATGACTGACTTCAGGAGAAATGTGTGCAACTGGGTCTTGAAGACCCCATCTGCATGTTGGTAAAGTACTGGTGCCGGCTGACTGCTCCCCAGGTACTAGAGGGTCTCCATCTGCTCCACCACCTGCCCCTTAAGCCTGAGGTAGCAGACCCATTAGGACCATGTTGCTAGAACAACTGATGAGTGACTGGAAGAAATGATGTCCCAGAGAACATCACAATGTTTAGACCATCACACCACTCTGACACTACAAGCATTAAAATTGTTCCTTCAGTTTGTTTTAATTGTAAAATCAGATCAAATTTTTTAGCCGATTCTCATTGTTCATGTCTGTAATGAAATTAACGTTTTTTTAATGCAGGTAAAATGAAATTATGCTGCTAAAATTTGTGCTTTTAGGTTACTTCAGTATATACTGTATGTTTGTGTGTTTCCATGTAGGACTCAACAATAACTCATCACTGATTGACTGCTGTGAAGACAATTTAATGGAAATAGGCACCTCTGGCCTTGAGAATAAAGCATCTTTCTCATCTAAAAAGCATAAAGCACCGTGATTCATTAAATAAAGCCTACAGACCCTAAATGACAGCCATCCACTATACTGTACAATAGTGAGATTTTAGGACTTGCTGTGTTCACAACTCTGTTTTTGTTCAACCTGGTTTGAGTATGTCACACGGTACGTCTAGTACAAGCAGATGGAGGTATTGCAAGTATGATGTGTAATGTAGAGTGACAGTCTGACAGACAGTGAGGCAGCTGC